GAGCATGACTTCAAAACCTAGACGGACAGTTGCTAGTGGTTTTGTTGGCTAGAGCATGACTTCAAAACCTAGACGGACAGTTGCTAGTGGTTTTGTTGGCTAGAGCATGACTTCAAAACCTAGACGGACAGTTGCTAGTGGTTTTGTTGGCTAGAGCATGACTTCAAAACCTAGACGGACAGTTGCTAGTGGTTTTGTTGGCTAGAGCATGACTTCAAAACCTAGACGGACAGTTGCTAGTGGTTTTGTTGGCTAGAGCATGACTTCAAAACCTAGACGGACAGTTGCTAGTGGTTTTGTTGGCTAGAGCATGACTTCAAAACCTAGACGGACAGTTGCTAGTGGTTTTGTTGGCTAGAGCATGACTTCAAAACCTAGACGGACAGTTGCTAGTGGTTTTGTTGGCTAGAGCATGACTTCAAAACCTAGACGGACAGTTGCTAGTGGTTTTGTTGGCTAGAGCATGACTTCAAAACCTAGACGGACAGTTGCTAGTGGTTTTGTTGGCTAGAGCATGACTTCAAAACCTAGACGGACAGTTGCTAGTGGTTTTGTTGGCTAGAGCATGACTTCAAAACCTAGACGGACAGTTGCTAGTGGTTTTGTTGGCTAGAGCATGACTTCAAAACCTAGACGGACAGTTGCTAGTGGTTTTGTTGGCTAGAGCATGACTTCAAAACCTAGACGGACAGTTGCTAGTGGTTTTGTTGGCTAGAGCATGACTTCAAAACCTAGACGGACAGTTGCTAGTGGTTTTGTTGGCTAGAGCATGACTTCAAAACCTAGACGGACAGTTGCTAGTGGTTTTGTTGGCTAGAGCATGACTTCAAAACCTAGACGGACAGTTGCTAGTGGTTTTGTTGGCTAGAGCATGACTTCAAAACCTAGACGGACAGTTGCTAGTGGTTTTGTTGGCTAGAGCATGACTTCAAAACCTAGACGGACAGTTGCTAGTGGTTTTGTTGGCTAGAGCATGACTTCAAAACCTAGACGGACAGTTGCTAGTGGTTTTGTTGGCTAGAGCATGACTTCAAAACCTAGACGGACAGTTGCTAGTGGTTTTGTTGGCTAGAGCATGACTTCAAAACCTAGACGGACAGTTGCTAGTGGTTTTGTTGGCTAGAGCATGACTTCAAAACCTAGACGGACAGTTGCTAGTGGTTTTGTTGGCTAGAGCATGACTTCAAAACCTAGACGGACAGTTGCTAGTGGTTTTGTTGGCTAGAGCATGACTTCAAAACCTAGACGGACAGTTGCTAGTGGTTTTGTTGGCTAGAGCATGACTTCAAAACCTAGACGGACAGTTGCTAGTGGTTTTGTTGGCTAGAGCATGACTTCAAAACCTAGACGGACAGTTGCTAGTGGTTTTGTTGGCTAGAGCATGACTTCAAAACCTAGACGGACAGTTGCTAGTGGTTTTGTTGGCTAGAGCATGACTTCAAAACCTAGACGGACAGTTGCTAGTGGTTTTGTTGGCTAGAGCATGACTTCAAAACCTAGACGGACAGTTGCTAGTGGTTTTGTTGGCTAGAGCATGACTTCAAAACCTAGACGGACAGTTGCTAGTGGTTTTGTTGGCTAGAGCATGACTTCAAAACCTAGACGGACAGTTGCTAGTGGTTTTGTTGGCTAGAGCATGACTTCAAAACCTAGACGGACAGTTGCTAGTGGTTTTTTTGGCTAGAACATGACTTCAAAACCTAGACGGACAGTTGCTAGTGGTTTTGTTGGCTAGAGCATGACTTCAAAACCTAGACGGACAGTTGCTAGTGGTTTTGTTGGCTAGAGCATGACGTCAAAACCTAGACGGACAGTTGCTAATGATTTTGTTTGGCTAGAGCATAACTTCAAAATCTAGACGGACAGTTGCTAGTGGTTTTGTTGGCTAGAGCATGACTTCAAAACCTAGACGGACAGTTGCTAGTGGTTTTGTTGGCTAGAGCATGACGTCAAAACCTAGACGGACAGTTGCTAATGATTTTGTTTGGCTAGAACATGACTTCAAAATCTAGACGGACAGTTGCTAGTGGTTTTGTTGGCTAGAGCATGACTTCAAAACCTAGACGGACAGGTGCTAGTGGTTTTGTTGGCTAGAGCATGACTCCAAACCCTAGACGGACAGTTGCTAGTGGATTTGTTGCCTAGAACATGACTTCAAAACCTAGACGGACAGTTGCTAGTGATTTTTTGGCTAGAGCATGATTCCAAAACCTAGACGGACAGTTGCTAGTGGTTTTGTTGGCTAGAGCATGACGTCATAACCTAGACGGACAGTTGCTAGTGATTTTGTTTGGCTAGAGCATGACTTCAAAACCTAGACGGACAGTTGCTAGTGGTTTTGTAAGCTAGAGCATGACCTCAAAACCTAGACGGACAGTTGCTAATAGTTTTGTTGGCTAGAGCATGACTTCAAAACAGATCGGAAGGGTTTCTATAGATGTTATGGTATCCATGTAATTAGTTCGTCGTGACTAAAGTTACAAATGTTCAAAACGATGAGGTAAGGTCCTATAGAATTCTAATTGTTACAAATATGTGTAGGATGGATCCTTTCTACAATCGGAGGCCTCCTGGCACTTACAAAATATAAATACCATCATTGACCTCTAGATCATCCTTAATTGACATGATCAGATAAAACCTAAATATACCTGAATCGTCCACGAAAGTACACCGAATTTGTATCAACACCAGGTCACCTCCAGGTCAGACTTGAGATAAGTCCGTCAGATCTGGTTAGCATCAGTACAGTTTAACCCCTATAACTACGTTGATTGATAGCATGGTATAATGGTATCATAATGACAACGCCTATTCATTACGTGATCATGCTATATTTATCAGTCGTAAAACTGTCCGTGCAAAATTACTAAACAGAGGTTAACTTTTTTAAAACAAAGTATTTATCTGGTAAAGGATTTTGGTTAAATGCAGGATATAATTACATATATATATATATATGATAGCAGTCGATCAGTATTAACGCTTTGTTTATATTCACGTACAGCACATACAGTTATAAGGATAATCAATAAAAAGGTTCAAAACCGGTGACATAATTCACCGATTGTTTAAAGTTCATCAGCTGTTAGGCTATTCGACTATAACTAGAGTGGCACTTTATTGAGGATATAGAATGGTGTCCATATATATGTATATATTTCGACAGTTTGGCAGAATAATCGATATTTATCAGGGTTACGAAATATCAGTAGGTCCTGACAGCAGCTATATAATATGGCATGTATTAGAAAATAAATACCACTTAATGTTCTAATTATGATTGTTTTGGCGAAATCATTCTGCATAAAAAGGTGCAGGAATATGTAACATAATATTTGACGCCATGTTCTAATGACGTCACGCTTGACAACAACAACGATTGGATCGAATTGGTTACTAGACACAACTTTATCTACAAAATCCCCCCCAAAAAATTTTGCTTTCAAACAATTTACATTTTAGTAACATTTTGTATATCTTCACTGCAGTTTTTATCCAATTGATACTTTTAGATATTTCATTCGTATACAAAGTATATAAGCAATATATTTATTCATGGACTCTATACATCATACATAAAACCTAATATAGCCAAGTTTGTTTCACGTAAAAACATAAAGAAAATGAATAAATATTTCAACGACACGCAGCGATAACCTCTAGACCATGAGTCCTGATTATTACCCATGAGAAATGAAAGTGCATTCAATCATTTGAAAGCCTGTTTTGCAACCTACTAAGCATGTACGTTACGGGTAAGGTCCGGAATAATTGGTAAACAAATGTTTGTTACGGAGAAGACCTACATTGTATATGACTAACATTTAAATTGAGGGCCAGCGTTGTGTACAGTTCTGACTGAAAGGTATAAGTTATGTACGGCCATGGATTGGCTATACCTGTATATGACTATGGTTGCACTTATTAATATGTTCCATAATTTATCCGTGATGCTGGGAACGTGAACAAACATGCATAAAATGCTCATTATCATAGTGTGTAACACACAACAGAGCAATGTGCTAAGCGAAAATGAACGATTTTGAAGAGCGCCAGGATTTTTTACCTAAAAAGGAACGCAAAGGTAAAATTCAAAACTTAAAATATAGGCTAAGATTATGTTCATCAGGATATGGCATGATATTGATACTTATAATCCTATTACAGCGTGATATAGCAATACCATATTAAAATTTAATTGTTACATATCACCTTTGTAATGTCGTCGTTGATATTATCATCAGTTCTAATGTAATTACAAGTCATTTAATGGATTAATGATATACATTATGAGCTACTGTATGCGTTTCAGACTTGGATATGTATCGTCATGTCCAGCAGTTCATAGGAAGTGGAGGTTTACATATTTAGACTGTTCATTGCAGACATCTGTCCTAGGTATAATCAATACCTGGATTATAAACTGCCTTTTTGATAGTTGCTTCCGTCATTATGCTTGATGCGTTAAACATTTGATCCATAACACTACCTGCAATTCAAATATATAAAAAAGTAGTATTTGACAATCCAATTCCAAAATATGCATTCTGTTGGGGAATAACTAACTTTAATTTTACAGAAATTACTGTATATCCCTTCCCGTCACACAGGATTACCTCCAGTTTGAGCTATGGATATCTAACTGTCAACCAAAAGTGTGATACAGATTCACAATGAACAGGAACCAGCTATTGTAATCAGCATTCACATTTTCAAATCAGTTATTTTGATCCTTATCTGTTTCTTAAAAAGACATGATTTATACTTTTGTTTAAAAGCGAAACTTCATGAGGTTCTCTATAATAACATAATGTTTCTTACAATGAGGGTATAACAAATACCTCTCAAACGTCTAAAAAACATTTATGTTAATCTCTCCCGTTAGACTATTCAAATCTCCTGCTCCGTTTTTGACAAACCCTTATCACAGGAAAAAGTCGATCAATCAAAATGTAAGGATGTATTTTCACTTAGGTGAATCCTATTGGTATTTCCAGAGGAGGTTCCGTGCTGCTGTTCCCAGAGATGGATTCTTTCCTACACAGGATTCCTGGGGTTCTGTTGTATATACGCTGTCCGTGTCAACTTCAGTGTGGCCATTGTTTGTATGGTGAAAACGTCAGATGTCCTCACTAATGGTACCAGTCTGGTCAACCAATCAGATGTCGGGACTTGTGTGGCAGAGGCTGCAAATGTTAAAAACGATGAGGTAAGGTCCTGTATAATCCTAAGTGTTACAAATATGTGTAGTGTGGATCCTTTATACAATCGGAGGCCTCCTGGCACAAACAAAATATAAATACCATCATTGACCTCTAGATCATCCTAAATTGACATGATCAGATACAACCTAAATATATCTGAATCGTCCCAGAAAGTACACCGAGTTTGTAACCAAAACATAAGGACATAAAATGGTTTACTATGTTGAAAAATAAATAAATAATATGAATAAATACGTTGGACGTAGTTCCGGTTTTGTGAAGTATATAAATAACTTCTCTAGAAAGATGATCGTTTTGAGTGGTGTATTATCTCAATTAATATAAACATAGTTCCTTTAATAGTAAAACAATAACATCTGCTACATATACTATTGTCTAACGGAACGATTAGGTGCTTAGATACTAGATCAGATGGAACATTTGGCTTTGGAAACAAGTAAATGTGCCCATGCATTCACCCTTCAGTACTTACGTTCATTGTTTTCTCGTCAACTCTTATTTTGTAAGAATCTGAAACTAAATAATATTAGATAAAATATGTTTATATATCAAAATATAAATATTTGCTTTATGAGTCACATTAATGTTAAATTAAAACTTGTTATATTTACAGCACGCAGAGTTTGACTGGGACAAAAGCACTCGATCAACCATGCTGGCTTCCTTCTTTTACGGATACATATGTACCCAGGTCCTCGGGGGCTGGCTTTCCGACAGATTTGGCGGGAGGCGCGTGCTTGGGTACACCACATTGTTTGCCGCCATTTGTACACTCCTCACACCAGTGTGTGCTCGCGCATCAGTACCCCTTATCTACGTCCTCCGTGTGCTCCTTGGACTCGCCACGGTAAAACTTAACATCACAAACCAATTGATAATTCCTTAAACATTAAGGTAATTCAAAATACTGATAATACGCAGAAGGAATGGCAGACCGCTGGTATTAACAATTGAGCAGGATAGTTATAAAATCTGTGTTGTTGTCTCTCTTCGTTTCTTTTAGTTTATCATTTCTAATTTGTTTTTGTGGCTCATCGATTCCTATTTTTGCTTTTTTGTAATATCAACTTTGATATCAGAGTATTCCATTTTTCGATTTGTGTTTGCCTATTTTACTTGTATACTGGTGTATTAATAAACGCTACGTAACATATCAGTAGATGTGGTTGAAGATTATATGGTAACATTGTAAATCTAAACAAAATGTATACTACGTGGTCAAAACATAAGGACATAAGCCGAGCTCAGTGTCAGTGCGAGAGTACAGCATCATCTGACGAGAGACCAAAACATAAGGCAATGCATCGCAAGAAACTATGTGAAACATAAAAGTAACCAATTCAAGCATCGTAATAAATGCTGGCGACGAATAGGAGATTAACGTACTTATGCTATAGATAATATTGTCCATCACTTCAGTAAGTCAAACTTGAAAATAAAATATATTCCAAGTTACCACAGTAATAGGATACTTATTGTTTTTAAACTGTTTACTTAACATATCAGTCAAAAATAATCTTTTAAATAAAATAAAATAAAATAAAAATTAAAGGTCTTTGTCAATTGGTCATTAATTCAGAAGAAATATAATTGCTCCTTAATTGCGCATTAACACTTTTTATATTATACTGTTTGATTTAAATTTGAATATATTATCGATTGAATTTTTCATATATCTAAAGTTGATAATGTATGATAATCAAGCGTTTACCATCAGCAGCTATCATAAAACATTACAAGATAACGTACATGTACTTTTTCAGGGTGTATCATTTCCTGCTATGCAGTCGATTTGGGGTCGATGGGCACCACCGTTTGAACGCAGCAAGCTGGTTTCCGTATCATATTTGGGTATGCTAGAGAACTTCTCCTGAAACTACCTTTAGTTTAATAGGTCTTTAGCGGGGCGAACAAGTTCAATATAATGCCTTTTATAATTCCTTTAAACCGATGGATAACACTAATTGTTAATTACCATTGACAAACAGTTTAAATTTAGGCGTTAACATTGGAAGAAAACCATTAACACAGTATTAACTTAAGATGCTGGAGTTGGTTTTTTAATAGGCACTATGTTTGGAAATATCGCCACGTTTGCTTCCTCTGGAGTATTGTGTGACTATGGATTCGACAACGGATGGGGGTCAATATTTTACATAACTGGTAAGTCATGTCTTTGGTACAAAATATGTGCTTAATGATAATATAGATTTGGTCACTGATAACCTATATAAGAGCTTTGATAATGTAAATGTGCCATTTATGTTGCTAAAGCATGATACTGTCACGTGGCGGTTATTCATTTCGTATACCTGCGCTATTCTGTAATCAATCTGAGGAATTCTTTACAACAATACATTTTATTGCTATTTAAGCTTATAAACGTTTTAGATTATGCTTTATGCATTGCTTTTCCAGGGGGCCTGACATTTCTCTGGGTTCTCATGTGGTTTTACGTATCGGCTGACTCGCCACAGGAACACAGGCGGATTTCAGCTGTGGAACGCGAGCACATCGTCTCCAGCATCGAGTATAATACTACTAAAAGGGTAATTACTTACCTGATTGACTTCGTTTATTGAGTTATTGCAACATACGTCATAACAGTTGGTAACAAGTCAGATTCGAACGTCATACGCCATCATACACCTTCCGACCGTTTAGTACTAAATGAACTATTTTGCAACCCTCCCCTATCCCACCCCTCTCTCTGAAAAGCAAAAAAAAACAACACAAAATACAAAATACAAAAATTCCCTTATTGACACCAGAGTATAATATAACTGATGGTGTCATTATGACAGTAAGTTTTGTGTAGAATATATATATACATTTTGCAAATATACTCGTGCTCAACTGGAGTTTTCACCTCACAACCAAAATAGAAAAACGTTTCTTATATTTACAGTATTCTGCTGTTCACGAATCATAATTATGCTATTTTTTTCTAATCAACGGATATAAATTTCATTTTCAATACATAATAAAGTGTCATCAGTTTTATAAATTTAACAGAATGAAATTAAGATAAGCCTTGGTTAACGGTGAATGTCAGTGTAGACTGCAAATATTGAAAAATCTGCTGAAGAACTGTTAGTCAGCAAAGGTTTTGTTAGTGTAATTCGACGAGGGTTAAATTGAAAGTTTAGTATGCATCAGTTAGTTTGCAGAGCACTGTATCTTATCTTGTCTGCAGAAATAGTGATGGTTTTTAAAATAATCTTCATAGGTTAAATATGACTCGAACCGTTATCTAATTAGTTAGTTAAACGGAATCGCGTTCATCTCAAATCTCAGTGATAACGTATTAAAATTAACATCCACAGATCACATGGTGCAATATGGCGTTTCATATTACGCCAGAACAATATCACCTTGATAGTTAAGACCTGATATTAATATGTATTTAATACGGAGGGAATAGCACACATTCATTTATTATTTGTGTAACTATTACATATGTTGTTGCTGTCCTTATCCTGCAGACTCCACTAATGATATGTATTAAACTATCGTTCCCTGGCTATTGTTTCTAAAATGCGCTATCATATTCCTGACTCATGTAACTTATTTTGTAAGATATACTTCTCTTAATATACATTGCATGATATTAAAAATGATAATATGATCTCTATCAATTGCAGATGTATTGCAAAAAATATTACATTTGTTTGTGTATTAGATAATGTTGCAATAACGCATTTCGCAAGTGCAATATGTATAGAATGACTTATTAAATTGTGTTTGGAGATATGTGTGAATTGGTTTTTAACGAAACAAATAGTTTGATAACATTTAGTGAAATACAGCTGACATATCACTGTTATCGAAATCATCGTCGTCAATATTTAAATTGGTTTGTAAACCTTTACGCTTTCAAATGGACACACGTTTTATATTTTATGCAGACAGCGAAAGTTCCATGGAAAGATTTGATGAAGTCACGTGCAATGTGGGCGTGCCTCACAGCTCACGTGTGCAATAATTGGACAAATTATACTCTACTCACCAGCCTTCCGGCCTTTATGAAGGCAGTTTTGAAATTCGACATCAAACAGGTAAGTCAATAAGTACATAACCATACTATACAAGTACAAATTGTTGCTAACATTCCATTATCAACAAAAAATGCTCAAGCAAACACCTTATCACGCACTATATCCATATGAAATAGGGCACTTGAACAGAAATATGGTAATATTTAAGTTCAAGTTTATGGCGTTTATTTTGAATCAAGACCCATATTTTTTGGTTCTTTGTACACCTTATTACAAAAATCAACACAAAGATGTATACATATGTTCGATTTCTGGCATTTAGAATTTTCGACAATTTAAGTGTTGTTTTTTCCATGCGGACATTTTGAAAAATCTCCTTAAAAAATCAATTACCCTTCTCCTTCCCTAATTTGTATCCACCTTTATGTACTATTGTGTAAAAATGTAATTGTTGCACATCTTTGTTTTAAATTTTGTTTCATTTGTTGTACATATTTAAATTACAAATGGCGTTTATTTTGAAGCAAGCCCCATCTTTTTTGGTTCTTTGTACACCTTATTATAAAAATCAACACAAAGATGTATACATATGTTCTATTTCTGGCATTTAGAATAAATGCTCATTTTCGACAATTTAAGTGTTTGTTATTTTATCGACAAAAAACATAGCAGAGTATAACCTGTGTGTACTGTTGGGTTTAGTGCAGACCTATCATTAAATGTACGACTTGACACATTTACGTTGTATCATATACAAAAAACCTTGCACATGTCTACAACCCGAAACATGTTAACGGTTGTAGTATGAACGGCGAATGCGGACTCAAATGTATCAATCTTTGATCAATTTAAGAACTGACAACTTTCCCTACTGTACAACTAATTACATATTATGTGTATGTAGGGAAGGATCATATTGTGATTATATGTACGAAGACATATTAGCTACTTTAACCTTCAGCAAACATTACCTTTCTCAAAACATCAATATTTAGTCTAGTAGTTAGCATCTGCTGTGTTTTTGTTTTCCGAGACTGGTGTGCTGTCCGCTGTTCCTTACCTGTGTTTTTGTTATCCAAGAATAGTGTGCTGTCCTCAGTTCTTTACCTGTGTTTTTGTTATCCCAGAATGGTGTGCTGTCCTCAGTTCCTTACCTGTGTTTTTGTTATCCCAGAATGGTGTGCTGTCCGCAGTTTCTTACCTGTGTTTTTGTTATCCGAGAATGGTGTGCTGTCCGCAGTTCCTTATCTGTGTTTTTGTTATCCCAGAATGGTGTGCTGTCCGCTGTTCCTTATCTGTGTTTTTGTTATCCGAGACTGGTGTGCTGTCCGCAGTTCCTTACCTGTGTTTTTGTTATCCGAGAATGGTGTACTGTCCGCTGTTTCTTACCTGTGTTTTTGTTATCCCAGAATCTGTCCGCAGTTCCTTACCTGTGTTTTTGTTATCCCAGAATGGTGTGCTGTCCTCAGTT